CAAATGGAAGTGGACTCTGGCTCCGCCCTGTCAATCGTGTCATGGGCTACCTTCCACCAGATCTGTCCGAGGTACCCTGCACACCATTTGCAAGAGTGCAGCCTTCAACTTTTAACTAGTTGGTAACTAACAGAAACAAGACTTTCAATGGCCATCTCAACCTGCTCGTCATCGAGGGCCGCCAGACGAGCCTCATTGGCCTAGACTGGTTCGCTGCACTAGACATCAACGTTGTCGGCATAAACCACACCGAACTCGATAGTGCTGCCAATTTCGCAGAGGAGTTTCCGGAGGTGTTCAGCTCCACACTCGGCTGCTACAAGGGGCCTTCAATATCCCTCAACCTAAACCCAGCCATTCCACCCATTCGCCTGAAGCCACGCCGAAGCGCCATTCCACTCAAGGCACGCATCGATGAACAATTGGATAAGCTGATTGCTCAGGGCATATTGGAGCCAGTTCCCAATGCGAAGTGGGACACCCCGATCGTCACGCCCATCAAACCAGATGGCTCCATCCGTCTGTGTGCAGACTACAAGTGCACCCTCAACAAGGCCTTGCAACCACATGCTTATCCGGTCCCTGTGGTGAGTCATCTGCTGGCCTCCATCTCTGGGGGCAAGGTGTTCGCGAAAATCGACCTCGCGCAAGCATATCAGCAACTCCCTGTCGACGCTGCCACTGCGGAGGCACAAACAATCGTAACGCACCGGGGTGCCTTCAAGGTGAATCGTCTGCAGTTTGGAGTCAGCGTCGCCCCCGGCATTTTTCAGGAATTGATGAAGCACCTCCTCAAAGGGATACCAGGTGTTGTTCCTTATTTTGATGATGTATTGATCACAGGGTCCTCCAGTATCGAGCTGTCTGCCCGAGTGCGAGAAGTCCTCCATCGGTTACAGAAGGTCGGCCTGCGTGTGAAGAAGGAGAAATTTGAGTTTTTCGTACCAACTGTGCAATTCCTTGGGTTTGTTTTGGACAAAGACGGCATACACCCTGCCCCCAACAAGGTCACCGCTATCCGAAATGCACCCCCGCCTAAATTGAAGAAAGAGCTGCAGTCCTTTTTAGGGCTCCTCAATTTCTATCACACTTTTTTTACCAAACAAAGCAGCTGTCGCAGAACCGCTCCATAGACTGTTGGACAAGAATGCTCTGTGGGCGTGGGGCCATAGGGAACATGCCGCTTTCCAAGCCATCAAGACTTTGCTAGTCTCCAATAGGGTCCTCGTTCCCTATGACGAGAAAGAACCGCTCGTGTTGTCGTGTGACGCATCCCCCTATGGAATCGGGGCGGTACTCAGCCATCGGCTGCCTTTGGGGCGAGAAGCCCCCATCATCTTCTACTCCAGGATGCTCTCTGCTGCTGAAAGGAACTATGCCCAAATCGATCGGGAAGCACTGGCCATTATCGCTGCCGTAAAAAAGTTCCACGATTTCATTTATGGCCGGGAGTTTGAGATCGTCACTGACCACAAGCCGTTGCTCGGCATCTTCACATGCAGCCGTCAAACCCCGCAAATCATGTCTCCGCGGATGATGCGATGGACCATCCTGCTGGCCGCCTATGATTTCACCCTGGTCCACCGGCCAGGGAAATCCATTGGGCATGCCGATGGCCTCAGCCGCCTGCCACTGCCAAGTGAGCACGAGGTTCCGGCGCAAGAAACACTTCTCATCGAGGAACTTCCTCAGCCTCCACTGGCCATGGCTGACATCGCATTCCAGACCCGCCGTGACCAGACCCTTGGCAGAGTTCTCAACTTCGTGTGGCAGGGGTGGCCGCCTGGGAAGCTCGAGGCTGAGTTCCAGCCATTCCAGTCTTGCGCTTCAGAATTGTTGGTCAGTAAAGGGTGTCTCCTGTGGGGAAACCGTGTCATTGGCCCTCCTACGCTCAGAACCAAGGTGCTGGAGGCCTTGCATGCTGGTCATCCCGGGATTGTGAAGATGAAGGCGATTGCGAGGGGATACGTGTGGTGGCCGGGCCTAGACAACGCCATACATCTCTGGGTTCGAGCTTGCCAGCGCTGCCAAGAGTTGAGGCCCGGAGGAACCTGCTGTCCCTGTTCACCCCTGGGAAAAGCCGTGGGGTCCTTGGTCGTGAATTCACATCGATTTTGTGGGGCCTTTCTGGTGCAGAACGCTTCTCCTGGTCATCCACGCATTCTCCAAGTGGCTGGAGGTGTTCCAGGTGTCTTCAATGACGTCACGTGTCATTTGGATCACTTTTCGCTACCTTCGGCCTACTGGACCTTATCGTCTCCGACAACGGGTCTCAATTCTCCTCCGCTGAGTTCCAGAACTTCGTGGACAAGCGGGGAATACAGCACATCACCTCTGCCCCTTTCCATCCGGAGACCAATGGCCAGGCAGAGTGAATGGTCAGGTCTATGAAAGATGCGCTCTGCAGGCTGAACGGGGGAGATTTCCGTGCCGACCTCACCAGTTTCCTCTTCCAACAGCATTCCACGCCTCACGCCACCACAGGTCGGTCTCCTGCAGAGCTGCTCATGGGACGCCGGCTATCCACCTTCCTTAGCCGGCTCCACCTGGACTTGGCACCAGACAGCAGCCGGGACCCCATCGCATCCAGGACCACCAAATCGTTTAATCCGGGCGAGCTGGTCTATGCCTGGAACTACGGGGAAGGCCCTCGCTGGGTTCCCGCCACCATTCTCCGGGCCACTGGGCCGATCTCGTACCAGGTATAGGACAGCACAGGGCAAACCTGCCGCTGGCACCTCGTCCAGCTGAGGTGGCGCTGGCTGAGACAGGATGAGATTTTTCAACGCTCTCAAGTTCCTGCTGTCAATGAGGATTTGCAACGCTCTTAAGTTCCTGCTGTCTATGAGGAATTGCAACACCCCCCAGTTCCTGCTGTCAATGAGGATTTGCAACACTCCCCAGTACAGATTGCTGACTCGGGAGATCTCCCACCTCCACACCTTGTTGGCGCTCGGGAGATGCCAGCCACCCCAGGATTACCGATGCCACCTCCTGTCTGGGAGACTGTCGGACGTCAGGGGGAACTGCAGTTGACTGAGCCAGCAGTCACCGCTAGGGGGTTCCCGCCTCCACCTGCCTCGCCAGGTCTACACAGTGAGCTGTCACCCAACCAGAACACAAGGGCTCGCAGCCAGATGGGTGAGCCGGTGTTTGGCCGCTTGGACTCTGAATCTTTGCGGGACAGCAAGGGGCCGAGTGAGCCCATGGGACGATTCTCCTGTGGTCCAGTCTCCACGGGTTACGCCCTTACCACGTCGGTCCCAACGGGCACGGCACCCCCCCCCCCCGCCTGAAGGACTATGTTGTCTAAACCAAGGGGGAGGGATGTTATGTTCTGAGTTATTGTGTTTGAATATGGTATCGTAATCCTTGCATTACTATTGGCTGAAGAATAAAGATTGTTCATTGGTCCTAAAGCCACACTAGAAGCAACCAATCACATGGCTCCACTTAGGGCCAATCAGGCCTATCATACAGAGTTACAATGTTGTTTGCTTTCACTGTGCAACGGTATAAATAGAGAAACTGCAAGCGTTGTTGTTCGAGACCTGAAGCAATCTTGAATAAAGGTTTTTGTTAATGGTTCATCGTCTCCTGCCTCAATACTTGAAAGCTTTGAAGGGGGAAAAATCAGTCAGCTCCACTGTATGTACACGAGACTTCCATTTTAGAGCACTGTGGAAAGAACCTTCCACGTGTCAAGGCCAAGGAGCAAATTAAGACGCTTTACTGTAGATAGATTCTGGCCAATATAGCCATGTTGGTCTGAAGCAGCAGAACAAAGTTTGAGTCCAGGGAGAGGTATCAGAAGAAGTGTGCTTGCACGCTAAAGCTTATACCTTGAATAAAATTTTACCCTAATGTCATTAAATAGTACTGTGTCTCTGTTTTTAAATAGTATAGTCAGAGGTCATTTCGGGGGGGATTACAGTTCCCCCAGTAGGGTTGCCAAATCGATTTGACTCACCGGCGGGGGAGGCTCCTTCCCGTCCGGGAGTCTTCTGAGTGTGCGCGCGCGCGCGCGCCGCCGGAACATCACCGGAAGTGACGTCACACGCTGGGCGGGGCCACACCATTTGAGGGGAAAACAAAAGAGTTTTCCCCTCAAATGGCGTGGCCCTGCCCCCAGCGTGCGACGTCACTTCCAGGTGACGCGCACGCACATTCCAAAACATATTTGGCAACCCTAGCTCTGAGAGAACTTGTAACTGACCCAAGGTCACACCAGCAGCTGCATGTAGAGGAGTGGGGAATCAAATCCGGTTTTCCCAGATTAGAGTCCATGCTCCTAACCAGCACACCAAACTGGTTCTAGCATTTTAGCATTATAGTGACACAGCGATTGCTGATTTTTTTTAAAAAAGCCCCCCCAAAGCGGGCCTTATGACACACTTCCGGTGATGTCAGGGGGTGTGGCCTTATGACACACTTCCGGTGATGTCAGGGGGTGTGGCCTTATGACACACTTCCGGTGATGTCAGGGGGTGTGGCATATGCTAATAAGTTATGCTAATGAGTTCCCCTAGCTCTTTTTCTACGAAACAACCCCTGAGTATAGTCTTCCTGGCATGAAACAAAATAACATAGCAGATGTATGTCCAAGACAGCCTTTCTTCTTGCATAAAAGTCAGTACTGAAAGAACAAGAAGAAGTATCCAGCATAGGAACTAAACTCCTTCATAGATCAGTCTCATCTCATTAAATATTCCATGTTGTTGACTTTTGGAAGACTGCAGAAGATGCAGTCCTCGCAAGTAATTTTGACATAAAAGCAGGAACCGTTTCTTGGCAACTGCCTGGCCATGATAGCAATGCACTCTGGGAAAGTCTGGCCCCAACTTTACCACTTTAGACTGGGGATGGCAGTAGATCTTTGATGCAGTGCATTTTGATTCAAAGCAATGGGGACAACCACATTGGTTAATTCTTTTTCAAAAACTCATGAAAAGCAATTCCAAAGTGATGACAGGGAATTAATAAAAGACAAGCTCTAGGACACAGTACATATTTTATTTTATAAAAGCATAAAAACTAAATGACATGCTTCAGAAAATTAGATTTTATATGTACAGTTGCTCTTCTTGCTAAGTGGCTGCTGTAGGAAACTTAAACTGCAATCCTATGCAGATTTACTTGAGAATAAATCCGATTGAACTGATGTAAAATTTGATTCCAAGTAAAAAGGCATAGTACTGGGCTATTTGACTTCATGTCTCATACTGCAGTTTTGAGAAGATGGCCTTCTTCATTCTATCAGGTGAGAAGATGGCATTCTTTATTAAGAGTTATGCTCTCACCCCTCTCCTGTGTCTCTTGTAAACAACCTTAATAAATGGGGAAGGACACTGCCTAACATCCAATAAAGTTCTGTCTACACTCACGTTGAATTATTGCATGGGCCATCAGAAAGGCTTCTGTAGAATGCTTACTTCAAGTGGTTTAATTCAACCAGATTAGTGTCTTTCAAAATCTCAAATTCAGCCAATGGTAGAATAGTCATTTCAAATCTGGATTCAGATTGAAAAATGAAATTTAAACCTTGGGATTTTCTCACAATAGCCCAGAGGATAATTATTTTGAACACTACTGTTTGGTCCTAAGTCTACCACTTCAGTCAAGAATATCTAGTGTGGATGTCTCAAAATTGACCATACACAACCATTTTTAATCACCGTTATAATGTTAGTAGCTCAGCAGTTTTATCATCCCCATGCCAATCATTAGTTTTGGTAACATGCCATTGCAATTATGGGAAACTGGTATGCACAACCAAATACAACAGGCAATAAATGAATACCGTGGATGATGTTTGCACAAATAATGACCTGTTTTTAGAGCACATGCTATTTTATGATGGATTAATCAATGCTTGTGACACTTGTAATATTTCAGGCTTATTTCACAATAACGTAATGCAAAATAGCTAACATTAGCCACTCCTTCCTGTCCAGTTCTCATAGTTAACATACGTAAAACTAAAATGAGGATTTCTCCCCCTCCCAGTTTCTCAATGTAAATTTATGTAAGGTTCTCAGAGTATTATGCTGACATGACTCATGGGGCTCCCATACTTCTCCCCTTTGAGTTAGTGCAAAACAAAAATCCTTTACTATGTCTTCGAGGGGAACTACAGGGTGGATGTGGGCAAAACATCTACGTGGATGCTCTCCTGCAGCCAGTCCTGGGAAAGGAAGAGCGAAGCACTGCATTCAAAATGGAGTTAAACTCCACACACACACACCAAAGGCTTTCCCCCCTTCAGCTGAGATGCAGCACTTTGAGCACAACCTCTCAGCTGTGATGGGGGGGGGGATGCCAGCTCATGGGGGCTGGAACAATCATTGGCATTTCTGTACCAAAACAAGAGAGATGCAGGGGTTGTAGGGGGACAGCAGCAAATAGTGCTGGGACAGGGGATGCAGCTGCTGTCCTTGTATACTTCCACCCTACTCATGGCTGCTTCCACAGCAGGGGCATCTTTTCACATCCTCTTGTAAAAGCAGCCGAAGAAGGGAAGAATGTGCTCGTCTATTACAAGATCCAGTAAACAATGCAGTACATTGTCCCTCTTCCCTGCAACCCTCCCCAGGGGACCTTAGGAGGCAGTCACTCTGAGAGGGGAAAGTCATTTTGATTGTTCACATGTGGACTCTGAGTGGTGCATGTATCTAATTTTTTTTAATGTTAAGCAGAGCTGAACTCTCCCTAACCTGACTTACCTCTGCTCTGTCATTTCAAGCATTTCTCCCCTGGCCTGTGTCACTTATAGTATCAGTGCTGGGTTGGGAAGAAAAATGCCTAGAGCAAATGCCTAGTGAGATAAGGCAGACGAGGGACCCCCTCTGCTTTGCTACATGTATCTACTGTTGTTTTAAAAAATTAAAACCCATCTCCCCCTTAATTAATGGGACAAACATGTGAATAAACAAACGGGTGCCATCATGTCTACTTTGGCCCTTAATGATTGCTTTCAGGGCAATCCCAAGCCTGCATACTCAGAAGTAAAGCTCATTGAGTTCAATGGGATTTATTCCCTAGTAAGTGTATTTAGGATTGTGTAGTGTTATCTGTACAATCCTAAACAGAGTTATACCTTTCTAAATCTATTTAAGTCAATGGGCTTAAAAGGGAGTAAATGTTTTGAATTGCACTATGGTATGTGGTAGTAAGGGCAAAGTGAACACTTAGTTCACAAGTTTGAATGAAAAATACATCTTTACATGGCAGAAAGTAAAGGGAAGTCACTGATAACAGTTGGGATGTGTGTATGTATAAATCTCTCCCTGATGATGTGCCCCATTATTTGTAGGGTGCACAGGTTCCCCCAACGTATAGTCGTGCTCAGGACAGTGAATTTACTTTGTTCCATAGAATGGAAGGAGAGTAACTGAGAACAGTGCATACACTGCACCCCCCCCCCTTCTATTTCTTAATGATGGTGAAGGATGGTTTTTATTTATATGAATTACATTCTCTGGCAGAGTAAATGTAAAAGATATAAATGACCACTTGTCACTATCTTCAATCATCCTATTTATGTGAACAAGAAAGATTAAGACATGATAGGGTTAAGTGATTTGTAGAAGGGGCCTCTTGCTGTCCCTCAAGAGGACTTGATTGGTGACTTCAGCTTCAATAATTTTAGGTTACCTATTTCTACAAGTGACAGGAAGAAATGGCTACTCAGTAAGTGTTGAACTAGATATCTAACAAGTAAGCATGAATAACAAGACGTTCTGTCAGTGTTTTTTTTAACTGTCTGTGCAATTTGGTGGTGCAGACAGCTTCTGAAGGATCTGCCCACCTGCAAACAATTGGGGATGTTTGAGCCAAAATCAAGCATTTTAAGTTCTGTAGATTTCAATGGAACAGCGTGAAGCATTTGTACTCTCTTGGAAATCAGTTCGACAGACAAGTATCTAACTTCACTGGCATCACATCTGATGTGATTCTGTTGCATGCTGAGTATCATGGCATCAGGGAGTCCTTCAAACAGGAAAGAAGAATTTGAGTATGCAAAAAATTCAGGCAGCCTTGATAAGGTGTCATATTCTATGTTAGGAACAGCTGTACAAAAAATATTGATTTCCACATGTATTCATCTTTTTTTAAAAAAAGAGTATGTGTTATTCTCCTTTGCAATTAATCATATGGGCTAATTGAAAAACGAGACCTTAAAAAACTTGAGTATATCCCTCTGGAATGTTGCCCCAAATAGGCGAAGCTATGTTTTAAAGCAGCTGAACTTGTGTAGAATGACAGAAGAGCCTCGAATCAGGTAATCCAGCGATTCTCAAACCCTTTCTTCACACAGAAGACACCTGTGGCATTTTTCTCATGGTGTCAGTTTACCAATTTCCCTCCTATAAGGTACTGTTTGTTTATAAGGAAAAATTTAGGCAGCAGGATAGACCCCCTCAAAAAGAAAGGAAAAAGAAATTCTGTTTTTCATTAAAGCACTGCCTCCTACACTCACTATAGACCTCTGCTTTGTATATGCATTTTGCTTTTCCTCTCTTTGCATGATTTAGTATCAATTGATTCCACACAGTGCCAGCTTTGTCTACACTGTTCTCTTAAAATGTTTGAATCTTGGTTCATGTCCATCTGCATTTATCACCCTCTTAGTTTTGCTCTCAATGGCAACCTTGATCATAACTGATTCTATGTCAAAGCTAAAGTACAGAAAGTCAATACGCAGGCCCTGTGGAGTGTGGGGCTGGAATTTTGTTGTTCAGCTGCTTAGTAAGGCTTGAGGGATGCCTATGCCTGTCCACAGAACACCACTGTAAGAAAAGGGCAGAATGTTTCTTCACTGCACAGAAGCAGCCATATAGATCCCATTGGTTGAGAACCACTGAGGTAGACAAGAGGTCTAGGCAGTACTGCTAAAGGAGGCTTCCCCCCCTCATGCCCTGAAGGAGAGTGTAAATCCATATGATTACCTGCCAGATAATAATGTCCAGATATGCTGGTCCCAGTCGTGTTTTCCCAGAACCCGGGGGGGGGGGGACCTACAAGAAGCAGAATACTGACTATCATCCCACTTGACTCCAGTACTTAGTGAGAATTCTGTGGGCAAATAAGCATTCACTGGCTGTAATAGCTGGGGCCTCTCCCACGGCTGAGCCTCCCATCAGAAGGCCAAGAGGTGATCAGGAGGACCCACAACCCTTTTGAAAGATCAGCCATAGCAACCAAACAGCTGTAGGCAGTTACAGAAGGAGCTCACATGATAGCTACCTACGCTGCTTCAAAGTGGCCTACAACTGTCTTGTATAAAGCAGTGCCATGTGATCACAGAGGAAAAAACATCTTATTGGAGGAGAGAAAAATGTCCTTTTTTCCCCTTTCAGACTAACATGGTTTTGCTCCCATCTCCAAATCATAAAGAAGGCTCCTGGCCTCCCCTTCTGATGCATCTGGGTGTTCCTCTCTTTCGGCATCATTCCCAAGGCACAAGGGGCTCAAGATGTAACGATAGTCACTAGTAACCGCAGCAGCTGCTCCTGCAGTGTTCACTTCACTGTCCAAAGTTCCAAAGGGACAGTCAGTTGTGGGGTTATTCCTAGAAGCTTCATGTGGCTTCCTGATGTTGACGTACAGAGGATCCTGACTGGAAGAGAGCAGTGTCAGTCTGGCCAGGATCATTTCCAGTTGCAATTTCAGGGCTCCAAAGCTTGGGCGTAGCTTGGGTTCCGAATGCCAGCATCTGCACATGAGATCGTAGCTGCAAGGCAAACAGAGCATTTTAAGAAAGGCTGTCTGTGTAAGCCTCACTGTTAGCAACATGGACAGGAATACCATTAAAAAGCCATGTATGCAGAACTGGATTAGCAAACACGGCAACTTTAAACTCTGCCATCTGAGCAGCAGTAGACTGAGTAAGTTTGGAACTGGAATCAGAAAATTCAAATGGCGCTCTAGTTTGGCAGAATAAAACAAAACATATGATTTTCCAAACTAAGACGTTTGCTGCTTTTCAGTTGACTACTGAATTCTACCACTTGAGGCAGACAGCTTTACCCTGTCTAACAGAAGGGGCTGGCCCTCCCTGAATGTGGGGATCCAAATTTCTATTTAGCCTTTTACAAGGCCCTGAGGTTGCTCTAGTTCTGGCAATATTTTTTCCTTCCACTTCTTTGAAGAGCTAATCCTCAGGCCATCACAAGCTGCTTCTGAAATTCTCATCAGGTCAAATAGCAGCTTGCCATGCAATCTAGGAAGGGACCTGATTCAGAAAAACAGGTCTAAAGGCCCTCTGGCTCATAGAATGAGTTTTATGAGTCTTTGCATCCTGTACTTGGATGATGCATCTTTCTGCCCTGTATTCCAAATTCCTTTGTTCACTGTTAGCAACATGGACAGGAATACCATTAAAAAGCCATGTATGCAGAACTGGATTAGCAAACACGGCAACTTTAAACTCTGCCATCTGAGCAGCAGTAGACTGAGTAAGTTTGGAACTGGAATCAGAAAATTCAAATGGCGCTCTAGTTTGGCAGAATAAAACAAAACATATGATTTTCCAAACTAAGACGTTTGCTGCTTTTCAGTTGACTACTGAATTCTACCACTTGAGGCAGACAGCTTTACCCTGTCTAACAGAAGGGGCGGGCCTCCAAAGTGGGGGTTTCCCCACCCCCCGCTCCCACTTGGCAGCCCTATTGTCTGTGCACTTTTATGCAGTACCCAGAGGCCATAATATAAGAAACAGCAATCTTAGGCCTTATGAAGCGATTATTATTTTCATTTCTTTATCTCTTTACTTTGTTTGTACTCCACCTTTCTTCCTATGGGGACTCAAAATGGCTTACATTGTTCTCCTCTCCATTTAGTCCTCACAAGGTTAGGCTGAGTGTGACTGGCCCAAGTTCACCCATCAAGTTTCCATGGCAGAGTGAAGATTTGAACTTCGGTCTGACACTCTAACCACTACATCACATTTTGCAGCTTTTTATGCTGAAGCATTCTAAATTTCCATACTAAATGACACTTAGAGCTATCCTAAGCAGCGCAACCTCCTTCAAAGTCCATTGAAGTTTTGAACGGTGTATCTACTTAGAGTGGCAAAAAATACTTTCCATATAAAAAACAAATAAATAAAATGCTCTGAAGCATGTCCAGGGCTAATGAAGAATGGCAAATTTTAAGGGAGCCTAGCACAACAAACGTAAACGAACAGCAGATCTGTTAACATCCAAGCATTATTTTATGATTTATAAATTCTGAGTTAAATGTAGGATTAAGAAAAGAAAGAAGATGAGATAAGAATTGAGTTTTCCTGATCACAAGTTTAACAGGTTCTTTTTCTGGTAGAGATATATCAAATTTCTCAGATGAACTGGAACTTGTCCAGGTCCATTATTATCATGCCAATTCAATTCACAGAGCATCATTTCCAAACAATGCATATTTCCAGCACGCAGTTGACAGTCATTCTTTTCTAAAACTAATCTTATGCTCACTTACTTGGGACTAACCCTATTGAATTCAGAGGTACTTACTTTTAAGTAAACCTAGACAGGATCACGTTGCACATCTGCCACACTAACAGTGCTATCAGTGGGTTTAGACTGGAGTAACTCTGCATAAGATTACACTGTAAATACATTTAGCAACTTTATTCACCTTGAATCTATAGTGTATTTTGTATCTATCTATCTTTACTCATTCATCGCATGATTATGACTATCATGTCTACACTACATTTTTTGCAATGCAGTCCTAAGCAGAGTTACACCCTTCTAAGCTCATTGACTTCAGTGTTCTTTAAATTGGTTGAACTGTCATGACCTCCCAAAGAACCCAAAGAATTCTAATGTTATAAGAATAGCATAATTCCAGTCACTTCAAAATTACAAGGCCCTGAATTGCTTTGAAGTCATGACAGTTACACCGGTTCAATACAGGGTGGTGATCTGGTGTAGGTGTATCTTTACTCTAATTTTTAAAGGATCAGAATGTCTGAAATAATAGAAGTGCATGCCCACAAGTTAAATAAGCCTGTTTATATTCAACTTAAACAGCAAAGCACAGAAGTTGAACAAGTTATTTGAACATACAAAGCTGCCTTATACTGACTCAGATCATTCGTCTATCAAGGTCAGTACTGGCAGCAGCTTTCCAGAGTATCAGGCAGAAGTCTTTCACACTGCCTACAACCTGATCCTTTTAACTGGAGATGCCAGGGATTGAACGAGGGGACTTCAGCATGCAAAATGGATGCTCTACCAGTTAAGCCACAGGACTGGTTGGTTGTCAAAGATATTTTCAAAGCAACTTGCTGACAATATTTTGAAGATGATCAGAAGACTATGAAAAACTTTGGATAAAATAAACTGTAACCCCTCTTCTATTAGGAAAGAATTCTTTATTATGAGTAGAACCTACTAGAAGCCTTTCTTACATACAAATAATCTGAGCTGGCAAAAAAGCATGGCTGTGCTAACAGGTTGCTTCTGCTTATTTCAGTGTGGCCTGAGCTGCAGAAGTTATGCTCATGTTTGGGTAAAAGAAATGGTCCAACAAACTGCTACTCACACATCTTCCAGGCACACTGGTGGTTGTTTCAGTCTGTTTCCACTGATGAGGTAGTTGTAAATTTCTGCATTCTCAATGCCTGCATAAGGAGTTTGCCCTCGAGTCACAATTTCCCACATAGTCACACCAAATGCCCACTGAAATAAAGCAACAGGAAAGCATGAGGAAAATGTGGCTAATAATTATTTAAATGACAAATTTTCACCTGATTTATTGGAATTTTTCAGCTTAAATGTTTTGGATCATGGGGTCATTTCCTGCAGGAGCACACAGGAGCGGAGCTCCGGCAGTAAAGAGCCCAGGGGGCGGCACATGCAACAAGCCCCACCCCCTGCTCCCAGCAGCCCTCAATCAGAGCAAGAAGCAGTCAGGTAAGTTGCAGAGCTCCCCCCCCCCGGTCCAAAACAGTCCAGTGGCACCTTTAAGACTAAGTTTTATTCAGGTACAAGCTCTCCCTCCTCTGCGAGGACAGATCTGCGTGTCCCCCCCCCTAGCTAACAATCCAAAACAGTCCAGTGGAGCCTGAGCAGTGGGTGTTGCCTTCTGACACACTTCCGGTGATGTCAGAGGGTGTGGCATATGCAAATAAGTTCTGCTAATGAGTTCTGCTAATGAGCTCCTGCACCGCTTTTTCTATGAAATGACCCCTGAGTGGGATAATCAACCTAGGCACACAGAGGAAAGGGAAATTTACATTTTAGTTATGCAGGATACATCTCCCCCTGGAACCTAAGCAGCATTTTACAACACAGATTTACGATTAATTTAGGACATTTTAATGTTGCTTTTCCTCACAACAGGCTCTGCAAGACGGCAAACAATAAAAATTATTACAACAAGGTTTTTAAAATATGTATTATAAAACCAGAAAAACCCACCACACCCTCGTAGCACATACAGCCAGAATACCCTCTCATATTTTCAACAAATAAAATTAATCAGGCACAGGCATGTGGCCTGCCCTGTACTGGCTTTAGAGAAATATTCCTAAATGAAATGGTGTGATATGGCATGATTAATTCTTTTCCTGTACAAACCATGATCCATTCTAAAAGGACCTCAAGAATAACCTGATAGTATAGAATTTCTCTTTGTCCATCTTTTTGCCTGCCTTCATATTGGAATTTAAACATTTTCCTTTCTTGCCTAGGATTACTACAACTATACACTAGATGGAGCAATCTTCCTTCTTTTACAATACCGTAATGCTACCTGCAGTTAACTCGATAAAAAACATTCAGCATCTTACTGCTATTTGATTATTCATTTTTGTATTCTATCCAGGGGTCGTTTCGTAGAAAAAGAGCTAGGGGAACTCATTAGCATAACTCATTATCATATGCCACACACCCTGACATCACTGGAAGTGTGTCATAAGGCCACACCCCCTGACATCACCGGAAGTGTGTCATAAGGCCACACACCCCGCCCCCAATGGTCCCGGCCGCCGCCGCCGGCCTTGCAGCTCCACTGCCGAGCCCCATGAGGGGCCCGGCGGTGGACCTGCAAGGCCAGCAGGAGTGCAAGGAAGCCCCGTGGAGGCCCTCCCTCGCCCCAGGCAGGCAGGGGTGGGGAGAGGCAGGGAGGAAGCAACTTACCCTCCCTCTTCTCCTGCCTCCTCCTGGCTGAATGAGGGCTGGAAGCGGGGCGGCCGGAAGCAGGGGGCGGGGCTTCATCCTGTGCCCCGCCCCCCGTACCTCACCCGGGGGAACTGCGATCCCCCGCAATCCCCCCCCGAAATGACCTCTGATCCTATCCATTCTCCATGCAACATATATCAAAGTTTAGACTGAGAGTGCCGTTTCTAAAGCCAGCCAGGGTGCTTCTTGGTTGAGGAGGTCTTCCCATTCCAAGTATGTCACTCAGTGACTTGCCAAATGGTTCTTAGTCAGTTAGTTGCTCTAGCTCAAACTAGACGTGATCAGGAGGGGAAGGATCCAGGTGTAGTTTATACATGAATCTGCTTCTTCACATTCAAAGGTGGGGGGCCAACTTTTTGGGAAAACAATCAGAGCCTAAAGACAAGAAGAGCTAAACTCTGCTTCCCTCACTTACTTCACTGAGTTCTGCTGCTTTCTACACTGTACTTCTACCCTGACTCACTTCTGGTGTCAAAAACAGGTTGAAAGAAAACTTTTTTAAAAAATATAGGCCATCCATCCTGCTTGAGATTCAAATTAATGGATACATGAAGAAATATACATGGGCTCCCATTTGTTTGGGTTTCAGTTTCAATTCCTGTCAGTAATTACATAATTTCATTTGAAGATTTATACTCTAATTCCAGACTTCTGCCCCTTTTGGAATGGTATGGCTTGCATTATGATACTTTATACCCTTTCCACAGAAAAATGAGTTTTCCTCACAGAATGTAGGGAGTCCTTCTCTTTTAAAGTGGTTCATTTATTTCTTTTAAGGCATCCTTCATGATCAAGTGATGCCAGTCACTTTCACATACTATTCTTTCTGACATTATGATATTTTGCAAGATTTTCAGTATTGGTTTTGACTTGAGTGGGCTTCACTGAAAGCTGAGTCAGGCCACTTGTGTAGAGCAGAAAACACTCACCACATCGCTGTGTGTTGTGTAGAGATTGTCCGCCAGGCTTTCCAGTGCAAGCCACTTCACTGGAAGCTTAGAGGCACAGCCCTGACGGTAATAGTCTCCACTGTAGATCTTCTTCGAGAGGCCGAAATCAGCAACACACACGTTCATGTTTTCATCCAGCCTAAGAAATCAGAAGAGAATTCAAGCGAATTGGAAAATTAGGAAATGCAAGAAGAAATAGCAGATATATAGGCCACCTGTTTCAAAATCCGCCTTTTACCCTTGTGCAATTCATCAGACTGGGCATGTTTCAGGCCACCAGTGAGCCAAGGTTATCCCCACCTAATGGCATGGGATGTCATCTTCAGCTGTTTTGCCCAGGCAAAAAACCTGCTAAGCCTCGAAGATGACGAAGGACACCAATCTCAAACCAAACAAGTTCACCTTGCTCCTCCAAGAATTTTTGCTAAGATGATGTAGTCAGACCTTCATTCAAGAAACTATAGACAAGACTGGGACATCTACCGTAGTAGTATACTGGGATAGTTCTGCTCTGCCTATGTTTGCAGAAGCACAAACTATCCTGCCTCCTTTAAGACTCTTCCCCCAATCTGAGCATGTAGGAGGAACCAGAACAGAGTGCTCCTGCAGGGCAGGTTTGGAGGGAGGAACAGAATGGAAGGAAGCAAATTGTTTAACACCAGGAACGCTGTGCAGCTGGATTTCAGGGCAGGAAAAGAAGGAAATCTTAGGATTACTTCCTTCAAACAGCAGCAGTCTCACAAACTTGTTAATGTCCAAGTATTTTAAGGCCACCATTTTTCCAGAACTGCAGGATTCCATGAGCTGGATGCTTGGAGAGCCCTCATTTTACCTCCCAGCACATCAGAACTCATCGTATTTTGGAATTGGGCTGTTATGTATTTGCTTATGTGTTATGTTATGTAACCTAAACCGGAGCTTCAGGCACAGGCTTCATTGACTCCCAGGTATTCTAAACCCTGCAGTCGGATTGGTCGCTGTTACGTAACAGACCAATCCGGAAAGACTCTGACCTTCGGTGGGAATGAATCCCATTGGCCCTAAGCTCTCTATTGTAATTGGTCATTACTGTGCTAGGAGGTGTGGCCTCACTGGTTCAAAATGTATATAGTTGCATCATTCTATGAGTCTTGTTGCTGTGTTCTGAGCTGAATAAAGAAATCACTATTTTGTTAATGCTGCCTCAATCTCAGTACATAACACTGGTGATGAGGATTGGATCTTGTGGGTAGGCAGCCCCACAGAACCTGAGCTAATCACTGTGGCGGGCAAGGAATTGTCGCCTTGGCCCACCTGAGCTAGTCATTGCAGCAGGCAAGGAATTGTCGCCTTGGCCCACTGAAGCAGCAAGAAGAACACAGCCACTGTGAAGGCTGCCAAGGGCCACTTTGAACTGCTGTTAGCCAAATTGCTATATTTCTTTAATAAAAGGTTGGGGAATTATGATATTTTTAAAGTACTGGGTTCGACGCATGAAGAACTCGGACCACGACATGCATTCAGATGCGTTTATTGTACTTCACAACAAAACACACAAAACGGCCCTGCAAGACCAACTATATATACTCCACCCGGTACACCTCTGTCCCCATTGGAGGGTTTGAATCTCCTGCCAAGGGTGCTATTGGTGGATTACTGGTGGACTAGGATCCTAGGTCCCCTTTGTGTTTGGGGACCAAGCTCCTGCTTTAGCCGCGGACCCCTGGTGGTGGTCCATTTACATAACACCCCTCCCCCCTTAGTCTCGATCCAACCTATGTTACATAGTCCTTCAGATAGGCGGGGGGTCTGCGCTCTCAGAGGGAATGCCGGGGCACTGGCACGGGTTTGCCTCTGGCTGACTGACCATTTCTGGGTTATGTCGAGGGCGGTGGCGGCTCTTCGGGTTCTGGTTGTCCTCTGTAGAGACCTCATAGGAGACCGGGCCGGTGACTCAGACTACCCAGCCTGCAATCCAGGAGGGCCCTCTCCCAAAGTTCTGGATGAACACGGGGTCACCCCCCGGTGGGTGTCCCTTTGTTTCGTCAGATGCCTGGAGTCCGGTGCCCGGTCTGGACGTAGGCAGTCCAACAGGATTGTGGGACGCTGGCCCATCAGCAGTTTGGCTGGGCAGCACTCGGTGACGGGGTTGGGTGTTGTTCGCTGAGTCAGTAGGAAGCAGACAAGCTGGAACTCCCAGTCCCCATCCGTGATCCTTCTTTAGCTGTGTGAACCATCCTCTCTGCTTGACCATTGGTCGCGGGGTGGAATGGTGCCGATCTTATGTGACGGATTAGGTTCCGCTGGAGGAATTCCTGGAACTCCACGGACATGAAGGCAGTTGAGAAGATCCGGTGGAGCAAGCATATGACGACCTTCGTGGAGGTGGTGGAGGACACGGGGCTGATCGCCCACCATTTGGAGTATGCGTCTACTGTTACTAGGAATAACAGCCCCTGGAAGGGCCTGGCAAAGTCAATATGTAGCCGGGACCAAGGTTTGTGTGTAGACTTCCACGACTAGGTTGGCGCGCTTGGCGGGTTTGGGCGGACCGCCTGGCAGGTCTGGCATCTCCTCCCCCAGGCCTCGATCTCGGCATCGATTCCCAGCCACAAAATGTAGCTCCGGACCATAGCCTTCATCCTTACAATTCCCGGATGCGTTTTGTGGAAAGCATGGAGGACCCATTGTCGCAGGGCATGTGGAACTACGACCTTGTTTCCCCACAGGAGAAAACCCTTGAGTGCCAGCTCATCCCTGTGGGTTGTGAACGCTGCAAACTCGGGGCCTGTGGAAGTCATGGGCCACTACCTCACCACCCAGCCCAAAACCCGGGAGATGATGGGGTCCCAGACTGAGTTGGCAGCGATATCCAGGGCCTGAAGGGGTGGCTCAGGAAGGCCTTCGAGCATCAGAACCCCGGAGGCAGGGGCCGGGTCAGCATCTCTGGATGGAAGGGTCAGTCTGCTGAGGGCGTCGGCGTACCTCATCGCCTTGCCCAGCCGTGTTCCAGGTGGTAATTGTAGCCGTCCAGGAAGAGAGACCAGCAGAGAACCCTGGGCGAGGGTACCTGGGGGGGGTCTGCTTATCTGCTGCAAACAAGCCAAGGAGAGGCTTGTGGTCAGTTACAATAGTGAAGGGGTGCCCATACACAAAGTTATGAAACTTTTTTACCCTTGCCACAATCGCCAACCCCTCCCGGTCTATCTGCGCGTAATTGCGCTTGGCGGCCGTCAAAGTCTGTGAGTAGTAAGCCACAGGGACCTTCTGGCCGTCAGGAAAAAGGTGGCCTAGAACTGCGCCGACGCCATAGGGGGAGACATCACATGCAAGGATGACAGGTAGGGACTCATCGAAGTGCGCCACCACCTCATTGGAGATGAGCAGTGCCTTGACCCCCTTGAACGCCGCCTCCTCCCTTGAGCCCCATGACCAGGGCACTGACTTAACCAGGAGACAGTGAAGAGGCTCTGCAACCGCAGCCTTGTGTGGCAAAAAGGCGTGATAAAAGTTCAGGAGTCCTAAAAACGCCTGAAGTTCTGCCTTGCATGTGGGATTGGGGGCCTCCACGATGGCCTTGACCTTGTCCCTCGCCAGATGGAGGCCAGACGCGTCGACCTGGAAGCCCAGGAAGTCTACCTCCTGGACCCCAAGGAGGGACTTCTCTCGTTTGACCTTGAGGCCCGCTGAGTCAAAACGGTGAAAGATGGCACGGAGGCAAGAGGCGAAGTCGTCTGGGGGGGCCACGGTGATAGACGTCATCAAAAACGGCATCACCCCAGGGATCCCTTTCAACAAAGAGTCCATTAGTTGCTGAAATATCCCCGGGGCCACACTTACGCCAAACTGTAACCTCTTAACCTTAAAAGCCCCCCGGTGTGTTACAGTAGTCTGGGCCATCGCTGTGGCCTCATCTACTGACAGTTGTTGGTACGCCTGTGCAAGATCCAACTTTCCAAAAATCTTAGCTCCAGCTAAGGTAGCCAACACGTGACTAACTACTGGGACGGGGTATGCATGGTCGGAAAGGGCCTTGTTCAAAGTGCCTTTATAGTCCATGCAGATGCGGATGTCGCCGTTAGACTTTATGAGGGTTACAATGGGGGTCTCCCACGGTGCATGGGAGACCAGTTCGAGGACCCCTTGTGCCACCAAACGGTCTAGCTCCGCATCAATCTTCGGCCGCAAAGCAAGTGGGGCAGTGTGGAAATGCATGCAGATGGGGGAAATTTGGGGGTCGAGTTGCAAAGAAACAGGGGGGCCCTTGTAACAACCCAGAGCCCCATCAAATACCGTGGGGAACTCCCCGCAAACATCAGCAAAATCCCAAGCGCACATTTATTAACCCCCCCCCTGCTGTGATGCCCAACGGTGCAAACCACGCCCGGTCCAATAGGCTAACCAAATTTCCCTCCACTACTATGAAGGCCAGGAACCCCTCAAAACCCTGGTACTTCACCCGGAAACTCCCCACACCCCTCATTGGAACCGGGTTCCTCTGGAAGTCCACTAGGCTCAAGTGCGAAGGTCGCAGGTGGGGCCTGCCATTGGGACAAAGTCTGTTCAGCGTTTCCACAGAGATGATGGAAGCCACTGACCCTGAGTCTACTTCCATTTGGCAGGGGAACCCTTCAATCGAGACCTGGACCTGGATCTTCAGGGCTGCAGGTAAGTTGGGGAGGCGTAGTACCTGTAGCGAGGGTTGGCTGGTCAGTAGGTAGAGATCATCCATGCCCTCAGTGGTCTCGTAGTGCGTGGAGGCCTGGCGGTGTGGCTGTGGTGGATGGTTCCGGAACTTCCGGTTGCCCTTGGATCTGCAGACGCGGGCAAGGTGTCCCTGTTTCCCACATGTGTGGCAGTTGACATCCTGGAACCTGCACGACTTGTGCTCATGCACCTCTCCACAGCTGGCACACGGGGAACGTCCAGTAGGCTTACTGGGGTGTCTGGAGGCCTCTGTGGATCCTGTCGGCTTCCGGTGGTGGGGTACGCAGATGAGACGGATGTCATCCTTGTCTGAGTTCTCGGGTGCCGATTCGGGAAGCACGAGATGGGACGCTGACGGTGGTCAGTCGTGGTGGGAGGCCTCGTGTGCGATGGCGAGCTGGAGGGCCTTGATGAGTTTGATGTCGGATGTGCCAATCATCTTTCTGCGGAGCT